AAAAAAAAAAAAAAAAATGAATAAATGTTAAAAAAAAAGAAAAGAAATTTTACTAGACTGAGAGGACCAGGCTTGAATTCTGGCTCTACTAATTAGACTCTGATATGTCTTGTCACCTGAGTTTTGTTTCCTACATCTAAAATGAGAGAATAACAATACCTAATCTTCCAGTGTTGTGAAAATTAACATGAACATACCTAACAATGGGAGGAACTCAGTAAATATTCAATATATATTGAAGCAAGTGAATGTATGTGTACTGGGAGAAAGAAGCTATATTTATTGAAGGCCATCTATTTGCCAACTATTACATTGGGTAATTTATGTACATTATTCTAATTATCCTACTTTATCCCCAGTTGCCATCTCTGAAATTCATTCATTCATTCATTCTTACAATAGCTTTATGAAGATATAATTCACACACTATATAATTCACTCATTTAAAATACACAATTCAATTGTTTTTAGTATATTCACAGGGTTGTACAACCATGATTACAATCAATTTTAGAACATTTTCATCGCTCCCAATATAAACCTAATACCCTTTAACTATACCCCCTTATCCCTCAATGCCTCAGCCCTAGGCAACTACTCATCTACTTCTTTGTTTATAGATTTGCCTATTCTGGTGACCAGCTGTTTTCATTTCACATAATATCTTTAAAGCTCATCTGTGTTATAAGATGGATCAATACGCCATTCCTTTTTATGGCTGAATGATATTCTGTTGTGTGGATATACCACATTTTATGTGTCCATTCATCAGTTGATGGACATTTGGCTTGTTTATACCTCTTGGCTATTATGAATAATGCTGCTATAAATATTCATATGCAGATTTTTATGTGGAACAGTCACCTTTGAGTGTCATTACTTCATTTCCCAGATGAGGGAACTAGAAGGTGAACAAGGTTTCCCTTTTTCACACAGCTAGTAAAATGCTGAGCTGGGATTTGGCACATAAGGTGCAATGAGAAAACCTATCAAGGGCACAAAGCCAGATTTTGGGAGGGGAGGATAAGATTTTGGGAGGGGAGGATTCAGAAAAAGCTCTATGGAAAAGAAGCTATTTAGGTTGCATTCTGAGAGACAGTTGGAACAAGGCAAGAGAAAATCTGAGGGAAGAAAGGCGTGGGAGAAGGCAGTGGAGGGAGAGGGATTTCCTGGAAGAGCCTGAAGCTGATGCCATAGAATTCAGGGACACAAACAATGTGGAGCCCAGAGTGGAGAGAGGAACCAACCAGGGATGAGATGCGATGAGATGGATAAGAATGACAGAGGCAAGGTCATGGAGGATACAAACACTGCATTGGAAAATTTGGGTTTTATTGTGAAGACTGTGGGAAGCCATTGCATCGTTTTGAGTCATATGCTCAGAGTGTATTTTGTAAATATACTTTGGCTATAGATTAATGGAACAGTAGGACTTCAAAACACAAAAGCCAGGAAGATGGAAGAAGGAAAGTAGGATGTGTCTTCCCAAGTAAGGGAAATACAAGATCCAGAGGGAGGACACCTCAGAGCTTTGGGGGAAACCATAAAGAGATTGGTTTCATTTGATCAGGCTTGTTTGATGTCAGAAAGGCATTTCCTACGTGGCTTCAGTTCTCCTGGCTCAGACATCAACAACTCTGGAAGCCTTCCCTAAGTACCCCAGATAGGTTTAGATATCGCTCTTTCTGCTTTCACAGCATTCTGGGCCTACGGCTATTATAGAACTTGCCACAACGTATGGTAGTTGCCAGCTATCTGGCGTCACTCTCACTAGGGCTGAGTTCTGTGAGGGCAGACACTGTATCTCATACATCATCATATCTAGACCATATAGGGAACAGAATGAGGCCCATATTCTATATTGGATTATAATGCCTATATATGTCTAATAAATATTTGCTGAAGGAATGAACTTTGTCTTATAGACAAAGGAAGTCTCTGAAACTCTATGAGATGAAGTGCTATGAAAGCAGGTAGTGCTTCATGAAGATTAGTCTAGAGGCATGGGCAGGACAGATTAGGAGGAAAGACTGCATTAAGTTGTTGCTGTAACTCAAGTGCTAAGTGCTTGGGATGCAGAGGGTAACATGATGGACATAGATCCTGCTCTCATGGAGTATATTTATAATCCAGAAGAGAAGAAAGATGGAATTACAATGCAGGAAGCAATATGGTCTCTTACAAGGCTAGGTCCCTAGTTACCCCAATACCCTTGAAAGGGAAACAGTAGACTTAGGGTATAATGAGATAGCAGCTAAGAACAAAGAACAAAGTACCGAAGAGAGTTGTTTTCAGTCCGTGCTCTTCTACTTCTTAGTTATGTGCCCTGGGCAATGATGTCACTTCACCTCTCTAGAGCTCAGTTTTCCTCAGCTATGAAAATGGGAATCTACGTTGTAGATTAAATGAGATAATATACATAAAATGCTTAGTGCAATAACAGGCACATAGTAAGCACTCACCAAAGGTCAAGTTCTCACCACTTTAGCTTCTGAGGTATTGCAAGGAAGGAAGAGATCTAGGATATATCTGATCTCAGGATCTATATGCTGGTCTGTTTTTAGCATGATACTCAATTACCGAGAATCAAGAGATATGAGAAATGTCAGCAGTTGCTGTGTGACTCAGGCATATCATTTAACCTCGTTGAGTTTTCTCTCCCTCCTGTATAAAATGAGGGGGCTGAATTGGAAGATCCTTAAGATTCTAAATTTAAAAACAATTTTGGGGTTGTTTAACAGATATGAAGATGCTATAAGTTGGTACTTTTGTCACATGTGAAACATTGAGCTCGATGTAGTGTAATCCTGACCCATGTCACATTTATTTTGTTTGAGGATACTATTGTGGATATCAAAGCTATATCCGTTAAGGCTCCAACTCACCACCTATATAATACTATAGTGCTTATTCATGTATGTCTCTGCCCTTCTCTACTAGACTAAAGACCTCTGGAAACAGGGTCTATCTTCATATTCCTAGGACATAGCATAGTTCCTGGAATGGATGAATGTTTGTTGAATGAATAAGTAAAATAGTGAATGACTAGACAATTTTTTAAAAATATTTATTTATTTAAGTAATCTCTATACCCAACGTGGGGCTCAAACTCACGACCCTGAGATCAACAGTCACATGCCCTTCTGATTGAGCCAGCCAGGCACCCATGAATGACTAGACAGTTGAGCATAGTTGTAGCTCAAGCAAAAACATAAACTACTGGAAATTAAGCCATATAATCTGGCAGTTCTCCTTTTTTAAAAAAATAGTTTTTTTTGGTCCTGTTTTATTTTAGAGAGAGAGAGAAACAGCGTGAGCAGGGGAGGGGGCAGAGGGGGAGAGAGAGAATCTTAAGCAAGCTCCACACTCAATGCAGTGCCTGACACGGGGCTCAATCCCACAACCCTGGGATCGTGACCTGAGCTGAAATCTGGAAGCGCCTCTGGAAGTTCTGCTTTTGAAAAAAAAAATCTACAAGACAACTCATATGGCTTGGAAATAATCACCTTTCCTAGAGCAAACCAGATGTGGGTCTTATGCCCATAGCAATAGTACCCAACAGGCAGGAGCTACATAAAGTATCCTGGGATGAAACATCTAGGAGGTGATATAAGCCAGGGGAGAAAGAAAGCAGCCTCTCTCCTGGATTCAGAATGCAACTCTGCTCCTTGAAGTCCCTCTTGCTGACACATTCACCAGCTAGACTCTGGACCTTCTCTGAACTTATACTCTTTGCCACATCTGCCTGGACTTGGCCACTTGTCTGTTTGGATTTTTGTAACATAATTTCTCGGACTCTGACTCTCTTTCTTTCTCTGACTCTGATGTTCTCCTTAGGCTTGACTCCTTGCCAGACCAGACTAGCTTCATTTACCACTAGGAGTCTCAGATATGCTCATTTCTCAGACAGGGCTAAAACAATCCATGGCAAACAGGGTTGTTGAGAATGAGGCATATCTGTGAAAATATTTAATATTCATTCACTCTGAAATGTTTATGGAGCACCTGCCTATAGATACAATGACATACGAGATACAATCCTTGCCCTCCAGGGTCTCACTGCTAAGTGGATGAGATAGAGAAGCAAAATAGGCAATGATGATACAGTGTTAAGGAAGAAGCTATGAAGCATGCACAAATTGCTTTGGGATCACATAGGATGAGAGTATTTAATAAAAGCTGACCCAAAGAAGAGCAAAGCTGGCCAAGAGTAGTCTCGGGGTGTGCTGCCCTGGTGCAGCCAATGGGCCTCTTTGCCATAGTCCACCATGAGGCCAAGTACAGCCTACAGCTACAGGAAGACGAAGGGAAGAGAGAACACAATAGTCTTAGCAACCAGGCTTCATATGAAGGCCCTCATAGCAGCACCCAGCTTACCTCTTCTCTGCGAATCTGGATGCTCCTTATGATACTCTCTAAGAAGCCAACCTGGTGTTTGAGCCAGAGACTGGTTTCCTGCAAATGCTTATTTTCTTTGTCCAGGAGAAGTACTCTAAGAATGGGATAAATCAGAGGAATAACTAAAAATTACTGTATTTTTACCAATTTATTACTTTCTAACTAATAATATAGTATTATTATAAATAATAATAATGCATAGTATTTATTAATTACTAAAAACTCAAAACTGTGTCCTCACTTCCCACTAGCTCTGGGTCTTAGCCCACTGCCCAGATTTTGGAACCAACTTTGGCAGAATAATTCCTACCATGTTCCAAGATGAAGTCGAAATTAATAAGCTTCTGGCCTATACCTAGTCATTAAATACAAATTGAGAACAGAGACATGCTGTATGCAACAGAGAAACTTAACAAAGGATACGATCCTATTCAGGGGTGGGACTGAAACAAGAGACTCTGCATCCCTTCAAATATTGTAGCTACACAGACTGCATCTGGTTCTGATCTCATACAGTCATCCTCTACTTTTGTAGTAGCAGCAGCAGCAACAGGAATAGTAATAGTAGCAGCAGTAGTAGTAGCAGTAGCACCAATAACAGTAGCAGTAGTAGTGGTAGTAGTAGCAGTAGCAGCAGTAGTGGTGGTAGTAGTGGTAGTAGTAGTAGTAGTAGTAGTAGTAGTAGTAGTAACAGCTGCAGTAGTGGTAGCAGCAGCAGCAACCATTTACCAAGTACTTACCATGCGTTTAGGCACTATAACCTACCCACAGAGTAGACACTTAAAACTGTTCATATATTGTCTCATTTTTTTTATTTTAAATTTTTTTATGTTTTTTTTTTTTTAATTTATTTTGGAGAGAGAGAGAGAGAGACAGAGTATGAGCAGGGGAAGGGCAGAGAGAGGGAGACACAGAATCAGAAGCAGGCTCCAGGCTCTGAGTTGTCAGCACAGAGCCCGAAGTGGGGCTTGAAACCACGAACCATGAGATCATGACCTGAGCCGAAGTCAGACGCTTAACCAACTGAGCCACCTAGGCACCCCTGTATTGGCTCATTTTATTCATCCTTACAACTCCATGAAATTGATGTTGTTATGGAGCCTATCTTACATATGAGGAAACTGAAGCTCAGAGAAAAGCAACATAAAACCAGAAAATCGGAGAGCTGAGATGCAATCCAGATCTTTCAGACTTCTAAGCCCGAGTTATAGAAGTTATATAAACCCTGGTATAATCACTATACCAGGCTCATTTTCCAGGACCACGGTTTATTTGGGACACATGATCAAAACATAGTTTTGATCAGAGATTTTTTTGTGTTTTGTGTTTGAGTTCTGGTTCTACCATTTGCTTGCTGTGTGACCCTTGACAAAAACCAAATCTGAGCCTCAGTTTTTCTCATCTGTAAAAGAAAGCAGCATCCTGTAGAAGAAACTTACTCTAAGGAAAACATACAAATCCAATCCAGATGGCCAGAGTGTGCCTTCAGGAGGACAATATGGAAATATCATTAATATTAAGGCACAGCTAACAAGTCAGTTGCATTGGGAATGTCAAAATCAATGATGTAGATTGAGAAGGGCCATGGATTATTTAGAGTACATAAAAGGGGAGACATAGATAGTAAAAGATAATCAGAGACTCTCCAGGTCTGCCCAGAGAAGCAGGTGCCCCCAACAGCAGAAAGGAGAGTTCCAATCTGCTGAACAGATCTCCCCACAGACTGTGGTGCTGTGGGCTCTAGGGCCAAGCTACTGGGGTTCACACACTGCTCTGTCAGTGACTAGGCTGTCTGAGTTCCTGAGCCTCTCTGGACCTTAGCTTTCTCACCCATGAAATAAGTCTAATCCCAGTGTCTCCCTCCTGGGATTAGTGTGAGGATTGGTGAGAGAGAGAGTTTAGAACAGTGCCAAGCACATAGTGAGTGCTTGAAAAATGTTAATCATTATAGTTTTGTTTTGTTTTGTTTTGTTTTTGAGAGAGAGAGAGGGCACAAGTGAGCAAGGGGGCAGAGAGAGAGGTGGGGGGTGGAGGGAAGCGGGGCTTACCCAGGGCTTGTGTTTTACCCGAAGCAGGGCTCAAGTTCACCCAGTGTGGGACTCAAACTCATGAACTGTGAGATCATGCCCTGAGCCAAAGTCAGATGCTTAAGGACTGAGCCACCCCGGTGCTCTCATTACAGTTATTATTGGTGACACTATCTGTTAAGTGCAACCCACTCTCTTTGCCCTAATTCTGTGCTCCAAGAAAACTTTGATTATAATTGAAGTTTCCTATAGAGGAGAGAGGGCTTGGGCTGGCTAATATGTGAATTTATCTTTGCTGTGGATACTTCTCATTACAGGTTAATACATTGGGTATCCTATGGGTTTAATGAATTTAAGTCACTAGTATGAGCCTGTTCCTCTCTCGATCTCTCTTGATTCCATAGGTATCAAATGATACAAATGAGTGTTAAAACACAAAGTGACAGGCCAGAATAAGCATAGCTAGGCCCTCAGTCAGGCAATGCCTATGTGAGAGAGCCCATCTAAATGGCCAACCCGGGGTGCCTGGGTGGCTCAGTCGGTTAAGCGTCCGACTTCAGCTCAGGTCATGATCTCGCGGTCCGTGAGTTCGAGCCCAGCGTCGGGCTCTGTGCTGACAGCTCAGAGCCTGGAGCCTGCTTTGGATTCTGTGTCTCCCTCTCTCTCTGACCCTCCCCCGTTCATGCTCTGTCTCTGTCTCAAAAATAAATAAACATTAAAAAAAAAAATTTTAATGGCCGACCCGCCTCCTCCGTGATCTTTTTCTCTTTAATTTCACAACTTTTGCATAAACTACTGGAAACAGCAGACAGCAGAGCAACAGTTATGAGATAGGCTGCAAACTCAAGGGATAGTCTCTGGAGCAATCTCTTTGGGGAGGGAGGAACACCTTTATAGAGTTCATTGTCTCCTCAGTCAGGACTGCACCTACTTGTTCTGGACTGAAGATGTTACCCCTTTATTGCTCTTGATTAATTCTTCTTTCTCTGTGAGTTTTTCCAGAAGGTTCCTTTTCTCTAGGAGCAGTATATCATTTTGAGCAATGATCTTGTCCTGGAATGCCTTCTCCTAGAGATAATAAAGCCCCTTGTTACCACAGCAGGAGAAAGAATTACAAAGTTGACAGCAAATTTCCCTTGTTGACTTTTCCTCTCCTGCCCCCTGGTCTGTTTTTCACCTGTTTGCTGACATTGTCAGCTAGAGAGTTCTTCTGTTTATTTTGGTTATTTTTTTGTCATGTATTTTTTTTTTTGAGTAATTAATCATTCTTCTGGGTTAACATTTAAAAATATCTGAGACCTCAACTTCAATAAATTCCCAAGCTTCTCATATTTATTCTAATACCATAGGTATCAAATCACTAACAAATACAACTGAATTCCCTGAAGCTCCAGTTTGACATTTTTTCATATAATACATCTCCATCTGCATTGTGGTGATAGTCTTCTTAAAGCAAAGGCAAGAAGATGGACATTTAGTCCCCTCACTTGGCAACCAGTGTCAGGATCTCAGTTGGCTTGGCAAATCAAGCAGGTAAGCTGGCTACTGAGAATATCCGTATAGTGATCATGCAGAAGAGACTTCCATCTTAACACCATGTTTCATTTTCTACCAACAATTTTCCCTGAAAGCAACAGCTAGTGAAGCTATAGCTAAAGTGAGAAAGGAGGGTGTCTTGTGAAAACAATACTAAACTTCTTATACTGAAAGGGTCAGTAGATATTAATAAATGTCACTGTTGGGGAGGACTCTAGAAGCTCAAAAGTGTAGAATTGCCCTTCTCATGTCACTAATGACTGTCAGTGTTAAGTGCCCTCACCCTTCTGTGTTTGTTCCCACGTGCTGATGGCGGGAGTGAGTTGGGGTAGGAGAAGAATATTGAGCTGCTGGCAGGTGTGAATCATGGAGTTAAGAGGGGCAACTTTCTTACTTTTAAGAAAGACACTAATATAGATCATTCAGAAAAGACTCCATCTATTATTTAAGAATTATAGGAAAGGATATTACATTATGTTCTGAAACAAACCACTCCAGGTTTTAAAGTCCTGCATCCAGGACCCTTCAATGTCTAACAGTAATCTTGCGTACTCTTATTTAAATACATTTTTGGTAAGGATTGAGAAGAAGCCATCCCACAGATAATACTCCACAGTTACAACTGGATTAGAAAGGAAACTGGAGGGAGAAGGCTACTGACACCCTGCCCTTTGGAAATACCCTATTTTTTTTTTTTTTTTTTTGTAGCCAGAAAATCAGGACACATTCTCTAATAAAAGGATAAAATATTTGGAGAACTCTGGTTTGGACGTTTACAATAGTCAGGAGACTCAGTTGGCTCACCCTATAAAGAGAAGGCTGAAGGAACAAAGCCCAAAAAAGTGGCACTACTTTCTGGACATTTGGTGCTTGGAAAGGGAGCCCAGCTTTTTTATGCTCATGGCTCTGATCCACAGACGCTAAACCTGGAGGTCAGGACCTCCAGGTTTGTACCACTGTGGCATTAGAAGATCTCACATCAGTCTTCTCTAGGCTAAGTATTTCCTACTCCATTAACAATTTCTCTTGTGAACTGTGCATCTACCAGTTAACATGTTTCTAGGAGAGTTTACACACAAAAGGGAAGAAAGTAACATCTATGGAAAGTTGTATGTGTCAGGTACGGGCATTTCATATTTTAAATTTTTTTTTTTTTTCAACGTTTATTTATTTTTAGGACAGAGAGAGACAGAGCATGAACGGGCGAGGGGCAGAGAGAGAGGGAGACACAGAATCAGAAACAGGCTCCAGGCTCTGAGCCATCAGCCCAGAGCCCGACGCGGGGCTCGAACTCACGGACCGCGAGATCGTGACCTGGCTGAAGTCGGACACTTAACCGACTGCGCCACCCAGGCGCCCCGGGCATTTCATATTTTAACTGCACAAAAAGCCTTGTGAGATGGGTACTAGCAATGCCATTTTACAGATGAGGAAAGGATACCCAGAGGCTTGTGCAAGGTCACAGAACTATTAAGTGGCAGGGCTAGATTTTGCATCCAAGTCTGTTTAAGGCCAGAGTCCACAGCCCCCCTTCAAGGGCAGTGAGAAAAGGGTCAACTGCTCTTCCTTAGCCTCTGCTTACTTGCCTCCTCCAGTGTACTTCCTGGAGACCTGCCACTCTCTGGGTAGATATGTCAGGTTTCCAGGACTGCTGTAGCAAAGAACCACAAACTGGATGGCTTAAAACAAGAGGAACTGATTTTCTCACATTCCTGGAGGCCACACGTCTAAAATTGGGGTGTTGGGTGAGTTAGTTCCTTCTGGGGGCTCCACGCCTCTCTCTCAGTTTCTGGTGTTGGCAAGCCCTCCCTGGTGCTCCCTGATGGAGCTGCATCCATCATCCATCTTCCCCTGCACGTGTCTATGTGTGTCTGCTCTTCTCATAGGGCCATCAGACATACTGGATTTCGGGCCTTGATTTAGGGCCAACTCGAATCCACTATGACCTCATCTTAACAAATCCCACCTGCAAAGACCTTATTTCCAAATCAGATCCCACTCTGAGGTTCTGGATAGACACGACTTTGTGGAGGACGTTATTTAACCCGGTACAGTCAGGGAGAAAGAGAAGATGCCTGCTGAAAGGAGGGGGGTTGTTTCTGTCATGTAAGACTAGAAGTGGAAGGCAGGCAGTACAAGAAAGTGATAATGCAGAATATTTCTGGTGGGCCCATGAGCCAGGATTGCTCCTTTCTTCTGCATACCTTTCCTAGTTGTGAATCTAACCTAGATCTGAGTCTTTGAAAGTTTGGCGATGTAGTGCCCAGATAAAAGGATACTGCAAAATCCAGCTTATTTTTCTCCCTCACTATAGTGTAGAGTATCAGGAGGATTTTTTTAATTAAGAATCCAACATTGGTGACCCATCTGTTATAATCCAAAAATGTCTCATGTGTGTAGTCTAGAATTCTTCACCATCCCATAACAGCCCGTGGAATGACTGAAATTGCATGAATTCTGGAATCCTTGGCACGTGCATAGCTATGAGTATTTTAGGAGTGAGGACAGAGTTTTCAAAATTCTGAAATGGGCTAGGGAATCTCAAGAAGGGAAAGCATGACTGGCCTCGTCAGCCGCTCTCCATTTTGAATTTGTGTCGTTTGATGATCTCAAGACCATTCTGCAGTCAATACCGTGCCATCTGCCTCATCGTCTTCTCGCTTACCAGTAAGTCACAGGGGCAACGGGACAGGGATAAAGAAACCACGGATATTTAGAAAAAGGCTTGGAGACACCCCACAAGGATTGCTAAAGGAATAGAGGCCACATATTTTCACTGCCATTTAAGACCGACAGGAGTTCGAGGCATGATGAGGGCAACGTGGAGTAGGAATGAGTTACTGAGTGTGGTTCGGAAGGGTATGTCAGAGAAGACCAGACACTGCTCCTGAGTTGGAAGTGCGGGCTATTTTCAGCGTCTGATTCGGTTCAGCATCCCCACGAGTCTTACATCCTTTCTGGCAGGTCTTAAAGGATGACTCACATCAAAAGAAGGTGCAAAGAAGTGAAAACCTGGGCTGCAAAGGGGCCACCGGGTGGATTGCAGCCCAAGCGCGCTCTCCCGACTGGGTTGAGCAGCGACAACTTGGGGAGCTCTTCGCTTCTGCCCACCTTTTCCACTTGGTGCTGCAGGATTCTGACTTCATTTTCCAAATGCTCAATTCTCTTTTCTCGCAGCTCTACTTCCTGAAGTAAAAGGTTCTTGACTCGGCCAAGCTTGACTTTGTGGTGGTGATGTTTCTCATTGAAGTCTCTGTAAAAGTAAATTTCTATTTATTTATTTATTTGTTTGTTTGTTTGCTTATTTATTAGTTTATTCTTATTTTATTTTAGTTTATTTTTTGAGTTTGTTTCTTTATTTTGAGAGAGAGAGAGAGAGAGAGAGAGAGAGAGAGAGTGTGTGTGTGTGTGTGTGTGTGTGTGTGTGTGTGTGTGAACAGGGGAGGGGCAGAGAGACAGAAGATCCCAAGCTCCACTAACAGCACGGAGCCCAATACGGGGCTCGATCCCACAAACCATGAGATCATGATCTGAGCTGAAATCAAGAGTTGGACGCTCAACTGACTGAGCCAGCCAGGCGCCCCCAAAGTAAATTTAAATAGAGGCCCAGCTGAGCACTGTGGAAGTTTATGTTGCCTCCTCGTGTGTGTGCGCCTTTCTCGGGTGTCCTCTTTTTGCTCTGTCGAGGCCTGCCATCAGATGTGGATATTCGTCCTGCCTCACTCCTGCAGGACTTCTTGCCCCCAAGTAGGGGAATGGACCAAGGATAACCTCTTAAATAACACCAGCTTTAGTCATCCCCAACTCAGGAAACACTCCTTGACTTCTGACCCCTGACATCTAATTCTGAATCCTTCTCCATGGAGTCAGCTGTTAATTTAAGTTTCTAGTTCTTGGCTATACCTGTGGACAGTGATATAACCCACTTCAGCCTCTGATAACTGAGTCTGCTCTCGATCCTTGCCCCAAGTCTGAACTTCTGCAGGCCAGTTCTCTGTAGGTTTCTGCTCAAGACTCTAACTCTGATTCTGACATAAGTTGAACTTACCGCCAATAAGCACATGAAAAGACGTTCAACGTCATTAGGCATTAAGGAAACGCAAGTCAAAGCTACAACGAGATACTACTTCACACCCACTAGGATGGCTAAAATGAAAAAGAAAGATAATAGCAGGTGCTAGCAAAGATGTAGAGATATTGGAACTCTCAAACACTGCTGGTAGGAATGGCAGCCTCTTTGGAGAAAGCCTGGCTCAAATGGTTAAACATAGAGCCATATGACCCAGCAATTCCACTCCTAGGTATTTCTCCAAGAGAAGTGAAAACATATGTGCACACAAAAACCTGTATATGAATATTCATACTAGCACCATTCACAATAGCCAAAAGGCAGAAACAACCCAAAGACCATCACCTGAAGAATGGATAAATAAAATATGGGATATCTGTACAATGGAACACGAATCTGCCTCAAAAAGTAATGAAGTACTGATCCATGTGACACTATGGATGAACCTTGAAAGCATTACGCTGAGTGAAAAGAGTCAGTCACAAACGACCACATATTATATTATTCCATTTATATGTAACGTCCAGAACAGGCAAATAGAGGATTCCTTGTCGCCCAGGGCTAGGGGTGGGGAGGGAAACTGAGGATGGCGGACAACAGCTAAAAGGCTTCTTTGGGGGGTGTGAAATGTTTTAAAATTGATTGTGGTGATGGATGTACAACTAAAAGCCATTCAATTGTACACTTTAAGTGGGTGAACTATACGGTATATTAATTATATCAATAAACCTGTTGGGTTTTTTTTAAAGAACAAAAATCTAAATGATCATTTCAAGCTACTATAACACCTAATCCGAGCAAACAAGAAAACAGATTAATACCTCAATGCCACCACTAGGCAAACCTCTTTGAGAATGGCTGTGCTTTCCAAGTAAGAACATTGTTATTCAGAAAGTGCTTCTTCTAATGAAAAATTGAGGAGAAGTTTTACTTTGAACCTATTAGGTGTGATAACACAAAATCACTCCACACCAGGGTTTCTTGACCTTTGCCCCATTAGCATCTTGTGCCAGATAAGTCTTTGTTGTGGAGGGCTATCCTGTGCTTTGTAGAATCCTTGGCCTCTACCCACTTGATGCCAGTCGTACCAATGTCTCCAGACATTGCAAAATGTTCCCTTGCCCTGGGAGGCAAACCACTGCTCACTGAGAAGCACTGCTGTAGCTAACGTTCCTAAACCAGGTTTTCTCAGCCTACAGCAGTGTTCCCCAAGCTGCGTTGTGACCAGCAACATCCGCATCACCTGGGAACTTGTTCGAAGGTGCAAAGCCTCGGGCTCTCTCCCGGAACCGCAGAATAGTAAACTCTGGGAGTGGATCTGTGTTTTAGCAACGCTTCTGGGGATTCTAATGCAACCTAAAGCTTGAGAGAAAGCCCTGGGCATATTTGGTATTTGGGAGGGATCCCTCACCACTTCCACTTCATCATAAACAGACTACTTGTGGCGGGCTAAGTGTACCTAGAGCCTTTCTTCGCTCCTGCTGGCAAAACCCAGATTTCATTTAGGTGCCCACAGAGAGCTCTTGATCTCAAGAAAGGTGGGTGGGTCTCAGGTGTGTGTGTGTGTGTGTGTGTGTGTGTGTGTGTGTGTGGCTACAGGGATGGACCTGTGACAAAGGTATGCTTGCTGGGCACTTCCAGGAACTTCAGAAACCAGCCCTCTCTGCGCTGGCTGGCCTCCTGCTGAGCTTGCGCCACCTGCCCCTACAGTCACCACCTTGTAACCATGATGTGACAAGCCTAAAGACAAAGGTGCTGACCCACCAAGCATGGCAGAGGGAAAGGAAGGAAAGAGCCTGGGCCTTCACGACACTACTGAGCAGCTAAAGCTACCCCAACAATCACCTTCCTCCAGATTTCTTGTTATGTAAGAGAAAATTTTGGTCTAAATCGATGTCAAGTTTTTGGTTTCTTTCGTTTCACTTTATTTTTATTTGTGGTTAATTACATCCTGATAGCTTAAAAAACAAAAAAACACAACTACTCCAAACAAGAAGAAACTATTCTAATGGTCTCTGCAGCCCCCTGATTTCCCTGAATGCCTAGACATTTGGGTAATGCCTTTTTATTATTTTTTTTTTTTAATTTTTTTTTTCAACGTTTATTTATTTTTGGGACAGAGAGAGACAAAGCATGAACGGGCGAGGGACAGAGAGAGAGGGAGACACAGAATCGGAAACAGGCTCCAGGCTCTGAGCCATCAGCCCAGAGCCCGACGCGGGGCTCGAACTCACGGACCGTGAGATCGTGACCTGGTTGAAGTCGGACGCTTAACCGACTGCGCCACCCAGGCACCCCAGCCTTTTTAACTGAAACAGAAAGTGTTTAAGGAATGAGGAATCCACTCTGGGTACTGTAGACACTTGAGGGCACAGTCATTCAGGCCTATGGTGCTGAGCAGTTTGCACATGTCAACTGTCTGATCTTACCTCTGATACTTAAACTGGGGGAAGCCCTGACTGAAGGGAACTACCAGCTAACTAAAAACCTGTGCTCCAGGCTTTTCACACACCTCATTTGATTTTATTTATTTATTTATTTATTTATTTATTTATTTATTTTCTCATTTGATTAAAAAAAAATTTTTTTTTTCAACGTTTATTTATTTTTAGGACAGAGAGAGACACAGCATGAACGGGGGAGGGGCAGAGAGAGAGGGAGACACAGAATCGGAAACAGGCTCCAGGCTCTGAGCCATCAGCCCAGAGCCCGACGCGGGGCTCGAACTCACGGACCGTGAGATCTTGACCTGGCTGAAGTCGGACACTTAACCGACTGCGCCACCCAGGCGCCCCTCATTTGATTTTAAAGCAAAGCTGTGCAGCCAATCTCCTTCTCTATGAATCAGGACTTGGAGGCTGGGCAGTAGAGTTTACTCAGTGGAACTGAGGTATCCAAACCCTTCACATTCCTTGACTAGCTCTCTAAGGCCTTGGAATATCCTGCTCGATAATAACATCTTTGTATACCTGTGGCCTTGGACTACACCAATATTTTATGTTAACAATACGATCGGGGCACCCAGGTGGATCAGTCGGTTGAGCATCTGACTGCGGCTTAGGTCATGATCTCGCGGTTCATGAGTTTGAGCCCCGCATCGGGCTCTATGCTGTCAGCACGGAGTCTACTCAGGATCCTCTGTCCCCCTCTCTCTGTCTTTCCCCTGCTTGTGCTCTCTCAAGGATAAATAAACATTTCAAAAAAAAAAAAAAAAAA